ACACACCCCCCCCCACCCCCCACCCACACACACACACACACGCACACCCGTCCACGAAGACGTTACTTCATTTTACGTTTTCTCGTGCTTTGCGTTCCCCTCTTTGTTTTCAAAAGGGTTTTGGCTATTTACCAGCATTGGTTTTGTGGGAAGACGCCGTAGCTGTAGCACGTACCATTTCATCGACTTTTCGTGAAGGAGTAGAAATCAAAAAGAGCATTTACTATTTGGCGTCGCCTTCACTTCCTCTTTGGAATAAAAAACGCTTGGGCAGTCGTGTCTCGCAAGTTCACCTTCTTGATCCCGCTTTTTTTCTGGCTCGATCGTTGGCCTAAGGAACTCTTTTCAGGAAGGAGTTTGCCGGGCTGTATGCCGCGTTTTCGTTTTCCCTTTTTCTGGTTTTTATCGAATTATCGCCTCGTATTTCGTCTCACACGCGCTCACGTAAGGAGCCAGAAGCACTTGGCGACTCAACGTGCAAATTTTATGGTTTCTTCCATTGTTATCCGCACTTTTCCCAGTATTAGCAGCATATATATTTATATATGTATAGATCCGAATGCACAGTCAGGTTCTGTTGAGATGGCTGGTCCGCCGAGCTTGCACACCGGGTGTGCTCTCCAGTTCTCAAATCGGAATGACGGTGCACGCACTGCGTCAGCTGGGCGCGCTAACCGTCTCATCCGCGACAACGTCGCCGCTCAACGTTCTTCCGGTAATACAGACTCTCTGTGTCGCGGCTGATGGACGCTCTCAGGCAAACGTGCTGCATGCGCTTGCCTGCGCCACCACAGAGCAATGCAGCCCCCGCGTCACGGTGCAGACGGAGCTCTGCAGCACCTTGCAACTCCTTCAGGGCCGATTGGTGGAGACGGCCGTCTCGCTGACAGCGCCCGAGACCATTTTGGTGATGGAGGCGCTGATAAAGCTGGCCCCCTTTGCTGGTCGGGACGGACCGCTCATTAATCGCCGTCTACTGGACGAGGTGCAGGAGCGCTCCATGGCACTGGCGAGTGTGGTGGAGCGTCCGGTCGATTTGCTGGGCGTGACGCGGGTGGTGGTCGAGGCTGTAACGTCGGTGCCCTTCACGGCGCCCTCCTCCTCCCTGTCAATTCAGCCTTTCACCTCGATGGGCACGGCGTCGTGGGCAGATGTAACGCTGGAGAACGTCCTGCGCGTCGTACAGGCCCGTCTGAGCTCCTTTTCAAATCAAGATCTGATCTCGTTGGTGGACGTGCTCACGGTGGCGAGGGTACCTGCAGCAACAGAAGCAGTAGCAGCGGATTCGTTGCCAGTGAGCGCCTCTTCGTCACCTTCGCTCCCACGGGCTCCTACGGAAAAGCAACAGGCATCGGATACCGCCGCGGGCGGCGCACGCGAAAAATACACTTTTCTCGACGCGGCGCGCTTCCTGTTGGATGACTTGCTGGGGCGAGCTTTCCTCACCGTGCCGAACCTCTCCGTCGCGCAGCTTTCGGCCTGGCTGACGCGTCTGGTCAAGCTGCATTTGACAGACCACCAACTTCTGCGCACCGTGGTGCAGTCTCTCGCCGCCGCGGCGCGTGAACAGGGAAGCTTCACCGACGCGCAGTTGTCATCGTCCGTGCACGCACTCGCTGCGCTTTTCTCTACCACCGTAACCGGGACAGAAAAGTGGACGGACAAGGAGTTGTACGCGAAGGCGTACGTGGAGATCTTGCATGAGCTCGTGAAGCGGCTGCATCAGAGGCCTCGCTGTGACCCGACGGGGCTGGCCCATGCACAGACCTACCTCCTGCCGCTGCTGTTCAACGTGCCGGAAGTGGCGCTGAATGCGTACTTGCAGCAGGCAGAGTTGCTCGATCGGCGCATGTCCATGCCGACCGCGGCCTTAACACCGTCCAATTCCTCGCCACAGGTCCGCGTTTTCGTGCTGCTGAGCGCGAGTCTCGAAATGGGTGCCGCCTTGTTGCTTCGCCACTTTCACGAGCTTGCACCGCGGGTGCAGGCGCACGTGGCTGCCTTCGTCTTTCATTGGCATCTTTACCTACCACAGCCAAAAGCCGACGCGAAGGCCGAGAGCGATTCCACTGCGGGTGCGGAGAGCCCTCTGGGTTCACCGGTGACGACGCCGAAGGCGGTGGAGATGGTGCGTCGGTGCAGCTTCATGACGGCCGATGAGGCGTCCCGCAAGCACCGTGCGGTGTGCGGGCTGTTGGAGGGTTGTCTGGCCAACTTCGGCGCGAAGGATGCGGTGCAGGTTCTGAACGAAGTGGTTGTTCTGCACTACGCCCAGCCTGGGCAGCGGCGGCAACAACAACAAAGCAAGTGCATGTCGTCTCCCGCAGAACGAAACACCGCAGCAACAGCGACGGCGGTGGAGGCGGGTCTTCCAGAGGATGATACAAGCGCGATGCAGGAGGACGCCGCTCGTCAACGACGCGAGCTTCTCGCGCACCTCTCCGCCAAGATAGGAGGATCTCTGCAGGGCGAATTGAAGGAGATGCACACTGCCCAGCTCGTCCGCTACCTGACTTCGCTGTCGAAGATGGCCACCCGAGTGCAGGCGCCTTACAATACCGTGTTGCTGGCGTTGAAGGGCCGCTCTCTCACCAGCTTTGAGCAAATCAGCGTCCTCGGCGTACTAGCCCGGCATCACCTGCGCTCCCCCTACGTCGTGTACGGCGTGGTGCGGGACCTGCCGCAGCTGGGGCAAACGCTGCACAACTCTCAAAAGGCGGCTCTGCTGAAGTACCTTGGCCAGGCCGGTGCACAGCGACTTGTGAAGGCTCCGTGCGCGGAGGGCCTCATGCCGGGTGTGCTTTTCTCCGATGCAACGGAGGTGACTCAGCTTTCTCTACTGGAGCTTGTCTTCGCTTTCATCGGACTTGTCGAGCTGCGACAAAACGCGAACCCGACGACGTCGCAGGTGCTGCAGGAGCTGGCACAACGCGTGTCCTTGACACACGACAGCGACAAGCTCGGCGGGCCACTCTCCCACCGGCACGTCTTTTACCCAGTTCGATCCCCCACCACTCTCGCCGAGTTGGTCACCTCGCTCTGCCGGTACGGCGGTCCGTCGAAGGGCGTCACGGCGCCGCTGCTCGTCGAGGCGATGCGGGCGCTGCAACTGCGCGTAGCCACCTCGCGCTCCCTCTTCGTCGACGTCAGTCAGCTCACGTGGCACTGGCCACTTGTGGAGGAGTACTTCCAGCCGTCTTCCGTCTTGTGGGGCGGTGGCACACCACCGGAGACGTTCAGCAGTGATGAATGGTCGGAGCTAAGGGCGGCATTTCAGCGGCTGTGCTCCACCGCGCAGCGCCAACTGCGGTCGCGCTTGACAGACATCGCGTTGTCGCCCCGACTGCGGCGAAACACGTTTCTGTGGAACCAGATGGCCTGCGGGGTACGCTTTGATGCCCTCCCTCCGCAAGGGAGTCCCGAGGTAGCGCTGCTGTGGGAGAACCTTGAACGCAAAGATATCGTGCCGCTGCACGCCAGTCCACAACAGCTGCTGGATGTGATGACACTGGCCGTGTACCGATTGCCTGAAGATGCGGCGGATGCGATGCTCATGTTGGACCTGGTCAAGAAGCACGTGGCGTCGCTGCCAGTTCAGAATGGGCTGCAGGTGTGGTGGTATGCGTCGCAGTACCTGTCCTCTGCAAATCACGCGTCGTCGCAGGAGGAAAAGGTGCGCCGACTCGTCCAGGCGGTGCGTGACGCCGCCAAACAACATGTTGTGTGTGAAGACAAGGCTGTAGCAGAGAAGCTCAGCATGATGGAGCAGCGGTTGTTTCAGGCGCTCGTGTAGAAGAGAAAGAGAAGAACAAACCTGCGAAGGAGGGGCACCGTTTTGGTTGTTCTGTGCGGTGTGGTTTTTGGTCCAAAGTTGAAACTTACTCACATTCTTTTTTCCCGAGCGCTGCTTCTGTACGTTTGAGCTGCGTTTCAAAAGCGCACTTCGGCGACGCGCACAACGAAGTGACACAAAAAACGCCCTTAATGCATGAAACATCAGGAAATTAAATAAAAAGCCGACGCACTGCACCTTTGCTGGCCTGACCCGATGCTGCCGACTGGATTCTCTTAGCCGTTTTTGCGGCGGACATTTAGGCTTTTACCGCCAGCGTCTCCCCCACCCGTGGAGGAAGGTTGGAGTGCCACCCGGTAGGTGCCCCGTGCTCTTTGCTGAAGAGTTCTCTCTTTTCGTTGAAATCGACTCCCTCTTTTTTTTTCTTCCGCCGGCGTTTCACATTTTGTCGAGTGCGGCGCCTCAACGAAACGTGTGTTCCTTCTTCGCGGCTTCAACGTCTTCGTCAACGACTGCTGCAACTGCTTCTCTTTACCCTCCCTTCGTTTTGTCTTGTGTCCTGCAACATTCCCCCACACCTGACTGCATTGTTGTGCTGTACCTTTTATGCAGAGAGAATACTTCCGAGTCGTTCCGTGTCATTCCTTTTCTTCCGATTTTTCAGTAGCAAAGAATGACGAAGTTCCTGAAGCCCGGCAAGGTGGTGATCGTGACCGCGGGCCGCTACGCCGGCCACAAGGCCGTGATCGTGCAGAACTCCGACGCCGCGACGAAGGAGCGCCCGTACGGCCGCGCGCTTGTCGCCGGCATCAAGAAGTACCCCAAGAAGGTGGTGCGCGGCATGAGCAAGCAGACGATCGCGCGGCGCTCACAGGTGGGCGTGTTCATGCGCGTCATGAACCACAAGCACTTCCTGCCCACGCGCTACAACGTGGACATGTCGAAGGAGCTGCGCGGCAAGATCAACGTGTCCGATGCGTCGAAGCGCTCCCGCTCGAAGAAGCTGGTGAAGCGCGTGTTCCAGGCGCGCTACAACGCCGGCAGCAGCACGTGGTTCTTCCAGCGCCTGCGCTTCTAAGCACGGGGCGAGGATTGGACAGTGACTCAAGTCTGCGCGGAGAGAAAAATCACGAGGAAAGCAGCGACAGGTGGGTTAAGACGAGCTGCACGAAGGCGTTGTATGTACTGCGGTCTTCTGCAGTTCACGCCGTCGATTACGTTTCCGCGTTGTGCGTCTTCCACTCCGGCGCAGGCTGTGTGGTATCTTTCTTATGTCACTGGGAGAAACAGAGAGCAATGACGGCGCATCTTTTCTTTGTGACTGATTTCATCATTTCCCTTTGAAAAAAAATAACCCTACCTCTAGAAGAACCACCTGTGTGTGGAAGTAGAACAGGGGACGTTGCTGCTTTCGTCTGCTGAGGGCGCTTCGCGGATGCACGGTCCACCTGCAGGAAGGGAAAAGGAAAACAAAATACTGGTGAGGTACTTTTTCTTTCCTTCGCTTCTACGTGTGTGTTGCGTCTTTCCATGTAATGGGTGTGCGTCGCTGAGCTGTCGTCAGGAGATACGGCGAGCGTAGCGGATGAATGCGATCATGGATGACACGTCGAACGGAGATATCAAGAATGGCTTCGTGCAACCTCTCTTCCTATCGGCTACTCCTCTCTTCTTCATTGCACCTTTCCCCTCTTTCTCTCTGTATTGCTGCCTTTCTCACCACGACTGCAACGCCTTTATGAGCTGGTATCGGATTTCGATCATCCTTCGTGCGTTCGCGGAAACGGCGAGTTGAAAAGGTGGTTTTGGGTTTCTTACTTTCCTTTCTTGTTTTACACCTCCACAGAGACAAGAAGTGTACTGTGTCGCCTCCGTGCCTTCTCACTTTTTCCTCCTTTTTAACTACAGGCTACGTCGTGGGGTTTCTGCGTTGCGTGCTATTGTCTTCTTTATAATTATTGTCGCGACCCTTTCTGGCCCACACGTTTGCACTCCTGCGCTCCATACTGCCCTTGCATGCACCGTTTGGGTTCTGTTGCACGGCATCTGTCAACTTGTACTATTTGTTTTCTTCTCAAGCCTCTCTTGCGTGTCGACGACTCGGCAACCCCAAGCTTAACATCCGCACCGGACATTGATTGCAACACGCACGCTTTCCTTGTTTTTTTTTTCCCCGCTGGAAAGCCCACAAAGCTTTGAGAGCATTAACAAAATATTTATTTCTCCTCAGGTCGTTAGCTCCAATCGCTTCCGCGTTTTCTCTTCGTTTTGTGCTGTACGTTTTAAAGGCGAGTACAAACCGAGACGCTTGCGTACTCTTTCCATCGGTTTTCCGCAGGTTGGCACGAAGCACTTCTTTCGCTGCCCTCCGCGTGAGTCAGCTTTTGCGCGTCCTCAAGTACACTTTTTTTAATGTAGGCGGCTCCCGCGTTGCCCACGGTTTCTGTTTTTATATATTATTATCCAAAGGAGGTTTTTTTTCTTTCTTTCGTTCATTATACGTGCCGAAAACGGACCTTACGCTTCAGCCATGCCGGAGCCACTCGCCCCCTTAAGCGGGGAGAACCCCGACAAGGTTCTGTCAAAGCAGCTTTACAAGGACGGCAAAATTAATCAGAACATGTTCTCCTCCGCCTCCCGCAAGGACAAGAAGGTGATGCTCCCCGAGACGCCGCTCAAAGGGCTCACGATTCAGAAACTGTGGGACAACGTCTTTCAGGACAACACGGACTTCCTGAAGAAGTATCACGACAAGCGTAATGAGTCGAAGCTGGAGGTCGGCGCGTGGGAGTACGGGCCGAACCACGGCAGCGGCTACCGCTTCGTCTCGTTGGTCACGTTGGTCGAGGTGCCCCGCGCCAACACGCCGACTCCGCTGAACGAGGCCCACCGCTTTGCCTACGTCACCACACCGGAGAATAAAGTCATGTTAGTGTATCAGATTTCTTCACAGACACCGAACGTGCCGGCGGGTGGGTCCTTCCGCACGGAGGCGTACATGGAAATCGTCGCGAACAGCGCCGACGCGGACTGCTCCATCGCGATTTGGGGCAACTGCCGCAAGATGAGCATCTCCTTCTCTGCCATTCAGTACATCGCCACTCCACGCGCTATAAAGGAAATGACGGCGGCGTATAGGCAGATGGTGAACATGATCAGCGAGGAGTTCTGCGGCGGCGCGGCGACCTCGGCCGAGCCGGAGGACGACGACAGCAACAAGACGGTGTCGCAGACCGTTGGCGGTGACAGCGGCGGTGGCGGTGAAGGCGGCCTCGGCTCCGTCTTCCACGGCGCGCTGCTCGTGCTGGCGATCCTGGTGACGCTGCTGGTGTTCAGCAGCACGCGTACCATTTCCCGCACCTCGCGGCATGCCATGACGATGCTGAACCAAGACCGTATGCTGCGCGACGGAGCCCCCGACGGCGGCCGTGGTGGGTTGACGGCGGCGGCGGCCACGGGCAAATGGATGTGCGAGGAGAAGGCGCTCCTCATCGCCGCCCGTGAGGCGCAGCTGCAGACGCTACGGTACCGCTGGATGGAGCAGCAGGCGGAGATCGACCACTTGCAGTCGACGGTGTCGTTTCTCAAGTCGCTTGCCTACGTGCAGGTCGTCGCGACGGTTGTGGCGCTGCTTGGCGTTGTGTACTTGATGCGGCGACACTTAGGCGGCAGCACCGACGGCCACGGTTGACGGAAGCTGACGGATGGTATAGTTCTCTTTTTGAGGTTGTCCCCCCTCTCGACCTTGGGGGGCGATGAAGCAGTGTTTTGTGGGTTCCGCCATCCGTTTTGTTGGCGTCTTTCACCTGTAGCCCTCTTTCATGTGGAGATGCAGCAGCCACACAAAGGAGGAGGCGCCTTTCATGACCGAGACCGTTGCGCGAGCAGACAAACAGTTCTTTCTCCGTCTCTCGCTGATGTTTTGTTGACAGTTTTTTCGCCTTTTACACGAAAGTTATTTGGTTTCATTTTCATACCATCCAATGCCCTTTTTTAGATTTCTCTTCTCTCTTCTGCTCCTTTTATGTTCGATGAAGCTGTGTGTAATGTCCACCTACGTGACCACCAAAAGGAAGAACGATAACAACAAGAGCTGTGTTCCACGCGCTTTGCATCGTCTCTCGCTCTCCTTCTTTTATTATTATTATTTATATATTATCTCACAGATGAAAATGGACGTGTTTGTTTGTCTGCTCTGCAAGACCCGACACACACACACACACTCACACACTCCGCAAGAGGGCCTCGTGGCCGTACGCACGTATACATAAAGTTTTTCTTTTCCCTTTTCTCTGTGTAGATGCGCGAAGACGTAATGGAGCCGTATAAACTTCCATTTTTCTTTCACACGCTGTTGAGCCTGTGTTTCTCGCATGGGTTTCCCCCCTCTTGTCTCAAAGGTTTCTTTTGGTTGCACTGAGTTTCAGAGAAGGAAAACAAAACACGAAGGTGAATTGCTGCTTTTGCACTCAAAGCGGATACATCATTGCGACTTTCGAAACTCGAATACTTGCCAGAAGACGTCTACAAACACTGATGGAGTGCGAAGCATGCCTTCCCTTTTTTTTTGGGAGCAAGAGCAAGAGTATCAGAGGAGCTTGTTGTCGCGCTTCGCGTGCTTCAATGCGCTCTTGATGTATTTTGGATGAGTCGATTTTACGGACCATAAGACGCGTATCTTGTCGCGCAGCAAACACGGTTGCCGCTGCATTGTATTCTTTACCGTTTTTCTTTCCACGATAGTCCTCTTCTTTCCCCCCTGCGTCTCTGCCTTTGCGTCTCTCCGTTCTTCCTCACTTGCATTTCTGCAGTGCACTGTTTGACATTATCACTTGGTGTAGCTGCTGCTGTTGCGTAGTTTGCATTGCGAGAATGTCGCGCCTTTGACGCACAGCGTTTTGCTGCTGACGTCCCAGCGTGAATTCGGTTTCTAATCCTTCGCTGCTTTCCTTTCATAAGCTCTACTGTTGGAGGTTTGCTGATCGAAAAGATGTTCGAATGTGTCTGCTTATCTGCTGGAGCTGTGGAGATTGCGGAGACCATTGAGTGTTCTGAGAGCACTCACGAATGCGTTCAGCCCACTTACAATGAAACAATAACAGAAATACGCGTTTCGGAGGCAGTGCGAGGATGCCCCTCAATCGAGGAAAAGTTGAAGTAGCTAGGCAGCTTGTTGTCGCGCTTTGCGTGCTTCAATGCGCTCGTGTTGTGTTTTGGATGAGTCGATTTTACGGACCATACGACGCGTATCTTGTCGCGCAGCAAACACGGTTGCCGCTGCATTTCTGACGCACAGCGTTTTGCTGCTGACGTCCCAGCGTGAATTCGGTTTCTAATCCTTCGCTGCTTTCCTTTCATAAGCTCTACTGTTGGAGGTTTGCTGATCGAAAAGATGTTCGAATGTGTCTGCTTATCTGCTGGAGCTGTGGAGATTGCGGAGACCATTGAGTGTTCTGAGAGCACTCACGAATGCGTTCAGCCCACTTACAATGAAACAATAACAGAAATACGCGTTTCGGAGGCAGTGCGAGGATGCCCCTCAATCGAGGAAAAGTTGAAGTAGCTAGGCAGCTTGTTGTCGCGCTTTGCGTGCTTCAATGCGCTCGTGTTGTGTTTTGGATGAGTCGATTTTACGGACCATACGACGCGTATCTTGTCGCGCAGCAAACACGGTTGCCGCTGCATTTCTGACGCACAGCGTTTTGCTGCTGACGTCCCAGCGTGAATTCGGTTTCTAATCCTTCGCTGCTTTCCTTTCATAAGCTCTACTGTTGGAGGTTTGCTGATCGAAAAGATGTTCGAATGTGTCTGCTTATCTGCTGGAGCTGTGGAGATTGCGGAGACCATTGAGTGTTCTGAGAGCACTCACGAATGCGTTCAGCCCACTTACAATGAAACAATAACAGAAATACGCGTTTCGGAGGCAGTGCGAGGATGCCCCTCAATCGAGGAAAAGTTGAAGTAGCTAGGCAGCTTGTTGTCGCGCTTTGCGTGCTTCAATGCGCTCGTGTTGTGTTTTGGATGAGTCGATTTTACGGACCATACGACGCGTATCTTGTCGCGCAGCAAACACGGTTGCCGCTGCATTTCTGACGCACAGCGTTTTGCTGCTGACGTCCCAGCGTGAATTCGGTTTCTAATCCTTCGCTGCTTTCCTTTCATAAGCTCTACTGTTGGAGGTTTGCTGATCGAAAAGATGTTCGAATGTGTCTGCTTATCTGCTGGAGCTGTGGAGATTGCGGAGACCATTGAGTGTTCTGAGAGCACTCACGAATGCGTTCAGCCCACTTACAATGAAACAATAACAGAAATACGCGTTTCGGAGGCAGTGCGAGGATGCCCCTCAA